TTTTTAGTCTGGTATTATTTTTATTTTTTTCCTCAAATTCTAATAAGAATCTGAAGATGATGCTTAGCCAAATGTTGCTTTTTTGTGTTGTTGCATCACATATTGTTTTTTCGGATTTTTTTGATGACTTTTTTTTTTGTTTTTGGCTTTTTGGTACGGGGCGTACAAGACGTACAGGTTTCCGTACAGATCCCGTACAGAAATTACCTGTACGTTTCGTACGGAAAGCCCCCGTACGTGTACTCTATGCAACGTAGCAGTGGAAACACTACCGTCTTCCCCCAGCCACAGCGCACCCTGGTACCAGGGGAACGAATACGTACAAGCTATCTTTCCGGTCTGGTGCAGCCATTACGAGGGTGCATTGTGTTCGGGGGAAGACAGTAGGGTTGTCGTAGGCCTTGACGAATTTGGTTAGGATGGCTTTTATCTTGCTGGGTTGAGACCACTTGACGGCTCCGATTTGGCGGACCGACAGGGTAACTTTCCGTATACGACTATAAAGTTTAAAGCGTAAACCCTTCGAAAAAATGAAGGTACTAATTAGAGATTGTCACATTCAGATATTATAACTTATAACTTATATAACCTTGCTGCTAACGTACCACTAACTTAAATGAGCCTACTTTTAAATTTTGAACTAAGGTAAGTTTATTAAATGATTAAACCAATTTGTGAGTTTTGCCACTTTCTCAAGATGCACTTGTACTGTTCATGGGCCTGTTGTGACCTACCTTTTGCAGTACGTCAACGAGTGTATTGTACCGTATGAGATGACATTGTATTACCAGAGTCACGAAGTAACGGAAGAGGATGTCACAACGTGTCAGGTACGATAAGCTTTTTTTTTTAACGGTAAGCTTTTCTAAGTGTGCAGCTGTATCCTTCTCAGGAACTCGTTAATAATTGCTCTTAAGACTTAGGGCATCACCACACCACGCCACTCTCGAAATGTGAAAAAGACAAAATTGAGGCGGGTGCATCTGGCCACGTTGTAGGAGGAAGTTCATTGTCGTTTTGCACATTCCGAGAGTGGTGTGTGTGTCCTTCAGGCATATTCACACCAGGACTTCTTAACCGCCAGCAACTTTCAGCTGCCCCTCCCGAATGTATCGGTGACCAGTGCCCGATGCTGTGGGAGGGAAAGCTGAGGAAATAGGAAAAGCCAAAAAAGAAAAGAAAAAAAAGAACAGGGGAAAAAAAAAGGAACAGAAGGGGAAAAAAAAAAAGAACAGGACAAGGGGCATGGGATGGAGCATGCATTTCCAGCAGGCTTTACCTTTGGCAGCTTTCCGCAAATAGGGCCTGGCTCCAGTACTTACCGAATCAGCAAAACGAGATTGAATCTTCCACTAGTATGCAGGAAGATACGCCGCAGTATATTTTGTCAGTACTGCAAAAGATTCATTCTCATTGTGCTCATTTGGGGCCTTGCCACACCACTCACTCTTGAAATGGCGAGATTTGTCAAGAGCTGTCAGAAGTTCTCAAGAGTTGTGTTTTCAAGAGTTTTCGCCCCCTCGCCACACAGCACTCTAGAAAGGGCGATGCCGTTGGACACAGGATGGAAAACGACAGTCATACAGCTTTGTTTTTTTTCGCATGGCGTCAGGATAACGGCCTGACAACTCTTCAAAATGAAAATCGATAGTCGGTCAAGGGTTCGGCCAAGGACGCTTGGAAACGCACGAGTTGCAGGCAGGCTGGGGTTTCCAATCTTTCAAGAGACCCTCTTGAAAAAGGGTTTCAAGAGGCACAGTGACTCTGACAGCTCTTGAGTCTTGACGGCCCCAATGTCAAGAGGCTGTGTGGCGATGAGTGGTGTGGCGAGGCCCTTGGTGAGTAGTAGTGGAGGGATGCCCTGTTTGTCAGTACAGCGGGGATTTTGGAAACAGCCTGTCTGTGAGGACAAAAGGCCCACTGTACTGACAAACAGGGCATCCCTCCACTACTACTCACCAAATGAGCAAAATGAGAATGAATCTTCTGCTTGAACATGGTAAGATACATGGCCCTTCTTTTTTTTTGTCTTCTGTGGATGTTGTGAGTAGTGGAGCCGGGTGCTTTTTGTTTTTCTTTTTCTTGCACTTGCTACATCGAGGGAAGATGCTCCGCTTCCCCCCCCCCCCTCTCCCTTGCTAGATTGTGGGAAGATACTCGCCTTTTTGTTTTTCGCTTTTCTTGCTTGTAGTTGCAGTAGTGGAGCCTGGCCCCGAAGCTGTGCCGAGTCTGTGGGAGCACTGCTGTGCATGCCGGACGTGGAATGGAAAAAAGAAGCCCGGAAAGGTACTGGCGAATCTGACTGCCAGTTGAGGTCAGATTCAGGCAAGAAAGTGTTAGTCTTACCCTCACGCATCATCTTCATATCCTTGTGTCCCAACTGCAAATGGATTGGGGGACCTCTGCCAGCCCCTTTTTCTTTTTTTTTTCTCCGCTACCTGTGTCTTCCCCATCTTGCTGTTTTCTCTCAATTTGCTGTTTTTTTTTTGCCTGTGAATTTGGGCCATTTTGGCATTTTTTGATTTGGTAGTTCACCTTGCACACGGGACTGTTGTCTCGTTCCCGTGTTGATGGATGTTCTGGAAACAGTCCCTCTACTGCAAGGTGCAGAGTATATGGCTGACGTAGGGTTCTTTTTCCCCTAGTGAATTAGTGGTTGAAGTAATATAAATATAAAAAAATTATGTAATATATAATGCAATATTGAATTGCTGTGGACATCCGTTCAAATTGGAACAATACATAAAGGATCAGAATGGCCCCTGTGCAAGCAAGGGGGGTTGCGCGGAACAATGCTGAATTATAATTCAATTATCACTAATATAATAATGCTAATCCCTTTAGGAGAGATTTGGGTCCCTCATGAAGGTTGATGGTTTCTGGAGAGACTCAGTAATTGTTCAAGTTAATGAAAGTGCCGAGGGACGTAAATGCGGCTGTTCCAGTTGATGAACAGGTCATGGGTTCGCATCCTAAATTGTGAAAAACGATGTATGAATGGAAGTGTTGTGGGGCAATTGACTTCTTATCTCTTCCTTTGACATGCAGGTATCAATTGTTCAAGTCTTGTCGGTATGAGGACCCCCTCCAGCTCTTTCTACCCCTTTCCCCTTTTGCATGCTGCGACATACCCGCGGCTGACCTCCACTTGTTCTCCCTCTAAACCACCAGCACACCCAGGCCTGGTCTTGCCACACTGCGCGCCAAGCTTTGCCCAACGGCCAGCGCCGCACTGCTTTTCCTAGTGGGATGGCGCTGCCAGCCATTGTGGTCCTGTAGCCCTGAGCCTCTGGGAATTGAGGAGTAGGTAATGAAGAAATCTTGGAAGGATGGGGCTGTGTGCACTGGCTTAGATAAATACTTTGGACTATTGCTCAATTTGTGTCTTCCTCTGTATTGTTCGTTTTTTTTTTTAATTTAAAAATAATAGATAGATTCCGGGAGGATGTCCTTCGGGACATCCGTTAAAATTCGAATGGTTCTTCCAGCCTCGATAACCTAGGCTGAAGAGGTCTCTTGCTCCGTGCTTTTCGTTCATGTGGTGTCGCGGGTTGACACGCTAGAGGAAGGGGAGGCTGTCGGGGTGATTAGGATAGTCTTCATGAGATCTTGGGCATGGTAGTGGACCTGCTCCTATGCTCCTGCGCAAATCTAGTGGAGGTTGGTTGGGCAGCGCGAGAAGAAAGTGAGGAGCATCTTCTCATGCGGAGTGGGAGGAGGGAGGCTTGTTACAAGCTGGAGCGTCAAAAAGAGCTAGTGGTTGTGTGGCGCTCTTCGTGTCGGCTGCCTTTTTTCAAATTGATTTCCCTGATTTTAATTTTGTATCTTCTAATTTCCTATATTCTTGCTCTAATCTAGTGCTTACACAGTTACAAATTCAGCTTCTCAAATTTGGAAAAATAAACTCACAATCTTATCCTCTATTTTCTGATCAGCCAAATTCTCATCTACATGTACACACATATACACGTATCCTTGAATTTTGACTATAATTTCTAAAAGTCCCAAGCAAAGTATTCTCGTTTACATGTACACACATACACACACAAACACATATTATCCATTCTGAATCACAGCACAATTCGTAGGGATCTGTTCTATTATTAGTAATTATGTATCCTTGAATTTTGACTATAATTTTTAAAAGTCCCAAGTAAAGTTCTATCATGATTTTCTAATCTTGGAACCCGAAAACTTCGGAGTCTCTACGATAATTAGTTTTTTGCTTCTTTTAAATTGGTGATACGTGCACATGGGGGGAGCTGCCAAAGGTTGATTGGCAAGGGGCAGGGGAATAATTGTAATAGTCTCAATGCCGCCCTGCGCTTTCTTCAGTGGGTTGTTCTTAAAGATGTAGGGTGTTTTCGGGGGTTATTGCATATTTTGAAGAGGCCTTGCTTTTCCAAATTGCGGTAGTCATTTCGATAAGTGTCGTCAAGTGTCATCAATAACTGTCGGCTGGATCGGATCATTCCCGGAGGGCTGAACGGTATTAAGAAGGGGGTGGGGGGAGCTCTATCTTGCAGGGGCATCACAAGGTGGGGGGTGAATGTCTCAAAGAGGGTAGGGGCGGAGGAGGGGGTTGCCCTATTCTGGGGCAGGGGCTGGTGTGTGGGTCAACATCAGTCCCAGGAGAGGCAGAAATGGGCAAGGGGTGGGGGGCCATGCTTTAGGTGGGAACTGCGTGCTCCTGGGGAAAGGGGGGTAGAGGGTTGGTCCTATATTGGGGTCGAGGGAGAGTGGGTGACTCGCCTCGGCGGAGGCAGTGCAGGGCTGAGGGGGGAGGGATAGGGGGAGGGAGGGGCGATCTCTCTCAAAGAATTCTAACATCCTGTTTAGTATTTCTTTCCATTTGGTTTGCCTCTCGAGGAGGTTGTAGGAATAGGTGCTATCTGGCAAGTCATCTGTGATCCTGCGAAGGGTGGTCGAAAATTCGGCGGCCCTCGAAGACCGATGCTGGAGCAACGCTGGCCGGAGCTGGAGCCAGGTGGCGCAACTCTGTGACCTAGCTTAGTGGGGGTGTGAGGCCTGGTAGAGAGATCTGGGGGGCTGTTTGCGGGGGCAGTCTCAGTGGTCATCGGGGGTCGTAACTGGAGCCGGTTCGTGCTGGAAACAGCCATGCTGGTGGTGGTCGTAGGTGGATTGAATAGGTTTCATTTGACACATTCTAGTGACTTGGTAGAGTCTGAGTAGTGGACCATGAATGCTTCTGAGTTTTCCCTTTTCTTCAATTGTTCTTAGCCGAAGCCCGGTAATGGCCCCGGTAGCTCATTTTTGTATTCTGATAAGGGACGCTGGGCCCGGTTCCCAGCCATGTTGCTCCCCATGAATAGATTGGAGCATCGTCTCCCAAAAAAAAAAAGAAAAAAAAAAAAGCATGGACCCTGCACAAAAATGACACGCGTAAATCTAGAGGGAGGATCAGATTCACAGTTGCAATAACTCAGCTCAAATCATGCATCAGTCGTGGGCTAAGGGTCGTGATTTTGGCCCAAGGGCCGAGATAGGGGTCAACGGCCACGCCTAAGTCATGAAAACTGCCTGAACAAAGGCCTGCTACTGTGGTGTGGGGTACCCGAAGCAAGGCCTAAAACTGGCCTTCAGAGGGCCAACGTGCGACAGTTGACCATGGAAAATCAAAGGTCAACAGCAGCTCAGAAATTCAGGCTCACGAGTCAAAGTCAACGTGTACGCAGTCCAGGCCGCCGATCAAACACAAGTCAACGTGTACGCAGTCCAGGCCGCCGATCAAACACACACTTGGCTGTTTGCAGGTATCTGTGAAGAATCAAGTCCAAGTGGGAATCTGCAACTGTATAGAACCAGGCATTTGGCTACGAGACAATCTGGGCCATCGTATCTGAGAAACCAGAGGCTGGTCGAACGGAGTTAACACTATATGTTGACCCAGCCCCTGCTGACCGACATTCAGTCTTGCACATCCTTCTCGACGCTGGCTGGACGCGGGCTTGACGCTGGCTGGACGCTGACGTAACGACGCGAGGCTGCTACTGCTTGGGTGCTGGCGCCGTTGACGCTGGCTGGCCGCTAGCTTGACGCTGGCACTACGCTGACGTGACAACACGAGGCTGCTACTGCTTGGGTGCTGGCGCCATCTCTGTCTACGGCACCAGCTGGACACTTGACTATGCTTACGTGGCTCTCGCCACACTGTCTACAACATTGATGGGATGCTGGCGAGGAGGAAGAGGATCAGGGTTGTGCGATGAGTTGAGCGTAAGGAAAGCTTACCTGTCTGCGTTCGTGTCGACATTGCGCACTGCTGTTCGTCTTCAGAAGAGTCTGCGCCGTGTGCGCCATGATGAGATCTGCTCATTGTCAGAGCGCGTCAGAGGAGACTGTCTGCTGACGTGACAAGTAGGGGATGCCCGAAGGAGGAGTGGGCTAGTGAGGGAGGTCTATCTGCTGAGCTGATGGGTACTACGTTCTCTTCCACCCTCCTAAGTCTTTTCTCCCTCCCATCTGCCTCTTCTCTGGTCACGACTTGATCACATTTACGATTTCAGAGACATTGAGACTGCGCTAAGACATTGTGTGTTCCGACTTTGACGAGCTTTTTCCATCTGACTGGGTTGTGGGTTCATTGCACAGTGGCCGGCAGCCAATTCTAGGGATACATTTTTCTGTTGATGAACTTGTAATGGTGTCCACCTTTCATCTTCTTACTTAGTATTCTGGTCATCTGATTTTATTTGGATTTGAAATTGGGGTCTTTGTTTCAACAGTTGCGGTTTGCCTCCTTTCAACTTCGTTTTTTTTTTTTTTTTTGCCTAATTTCAGCTTCTTGATAATGACGACACGCACAATCTTGGTGCATGATCTTGCAACTATTGCTCAATTTGTGTCCTCCTCTGTTTTGTTCTTTTTTTTTTTTTATTTAAAAATAAAATAATAATAGATAGAGTCTGCGAGGATCAGATTCACAGTGGCTTGCAGTCAATTCTAGGGATACATTTTCTGTTGATGAACTCGTGTTGGTGTGTGCACCTTTCATCATCTTCTTATTTTTTCTGGTCATCTGATTGTATTTGGATTTGAAATTGGGGTCTGTATTTCAACAGTTTGTGGGTGTCTCTTTGAGCTGCTTCTTCTTCTTTTTCTTCTTCTTCTTCTTCTTCTTCTTCTTTTTTTTTTTTTTTTTTTTTTTTTTTTTTTTTTTTTTTAACCTTTTTTTTTCTTAATAGTAGTTAATACTGACAACAGGCACAATTTTGGTTGCATGATCTTGCAACAGATGAAGGAGAAGCATGGGATCGAACTGAGGCCACATGATATTGTTGTCCATAACCTAACCATAAACTATGGAGCAGGGACATCCAATCCAGTTGACGAGTGAGAAAGTGCTTCTACCGCCTTACATCATTTTACATGTCATCTCTTTTTTGAAGTTTTTTCTTTTCTCTTATACCTTCTCTTCTCTTCTCTTATATACCTTAAAAGGAAAAAGCGGTCCGCGCGTGACGCTCCCACTGGGCCCAGCAAAAATCGGGCAGGGAGTTCCACGCGGGGTGCCGCAGGGAACCGAGGAGGGCGCGTCGGTTTGCGGGGGTGCCAGTTGGTGGGGGAAATTCGCAGGCCCGAGGGCCGTATTTGCGACGATGGTGGTGGCGGTAGGCGGGGTGTCGGTTCGCGGGGGAAAATCGCAGGGGCCTAGGTCGGGGAGGCCCGCCGGTTGGAAAGAGTGGTGTCGCAGGGGACCGAGGAAAACAGCGGCGTGGCGTCGCGGGTGCAATTTCGGGCGAAGGGGCAGGGGAGCGACGACGAGGCGGGGGCGCGGCGACGTGTGCGGGTCAGTGCGCGCGCTGCCGATGAGCGCAGCGGCGGTGGCCTGGCGGGCATGTGGGACGGTACCTGGA